GTTACTCGGTTCCATTGTGCTATCTGCTCTTGCTTTGACTACTTGGACTTCAGTGTGATTTTGCTATTTGGATTTCTATGCTTCGTCCACATTCATGTTCCTTGCATTTTGGTATCGGAGCTGGTTCGATTCGCCACTTACGTTGGTGCGTTGGCGTTATACAGACTTGGTGCGTCGACGATGCTTCTTCGCAGTTGGTTCTTGTGACGTCAGGCCATATTAGGCGCACGACCTGGGTAGAGAGGTGTGCGCCGGAAGGCTATACGACTTGGGATGCCGTGGTGACGGCGGAATGTATGATTGGTGATGACAGCATGCTGATATGGCATTTGGCTGAGGTGGCACTGCATTGCGTTGTGAGCGGTACCGAGGCTACGACCGGTCATCAAATGCACACTCAGCTCAATTGGTGAGAAATCTGTGGCTGGGGGCAGCTATCTCCAGGTACGTTGTTCCCTTACCTTATCTACCCTCTCAATCTCTTCTTACCACGAGGAAGTGAGTCCAACTTGAGTCCTCTCTTTTGGTGAGGTGTCGTGAGCGCTCTACCTTGAGAGGCGGCAATCTTCCCGGTGGCGCATCTGGAAGGAGAAAGGGTGGTGCCTTTGAAGGGCCCAGGTCGAAGCACGTGGGTCACGGTCACCATGCCAACCTAATGGGATTAGTACACACATGCGATGGCTGCTTTGTCCATGAGGGCACTTTTGCTGCGCTGATAGAGGGGTGTGCGGACTGATCAGGCTTATGCAGACGCTCCCAGACCGTCTATAAACATTTCTGGATGCGGTTCCGATCTGACAACTGGCTGTGATCGTCGTCCTGATTTGCGACGTTAAATAATTCCTGAGCGACCTTGGGGGCAGTCCTTAAATAGGCCTCTTGATCAGCCAGATCAGTCGGACGTACGGCTCGTTGCACGCGAGGATAAAGAAAGGGCAAGCCTGGTCATAAGCATGCACCTGGGGCACAGGGATGGGCCGACATTGCACACTTATGACACTGCTGCTCAATTATGCTCATCAGTATGTTGGATTGAGGGGAGGGTAGGTTCTAATTGGTGCTCAACTGTAAACACAACCATACCCACTTTTCATACATCTGCAACATAGTTTAGTTTTATTATTGATTAGTTGGTTGACAGACTGCTAACACCTCACAGACAGTTTAGTTTAGGACTGTTGTATACTACGATAGCTAGTTCTATGCAAACTTTTGTAAGTGAACTAATCATGATAGTACTAAATTATGTTTACGGTCTTTTGTGAATGTTGTAGGCTGCCACTTGATTGGTTGAGTAGGGGACTTGCCGGACACATTTATTTTTAGAAAATTAGGTGTCGGTCAGACACATGCTGTGGTAGGACTCCAGCAGGGAGTTGTAGTGCAGATACTGTTTGCCTAACTGATGAGTGGGTCAGACAGCGATGAGGGAAGAGTTGACGATGCAAGGCTGACACGTTCGAGATCATTAAGGGTCCCGCGCGTGTTTCAGGCCCTACAGCCGAGAGATGAGAGACGGCTTCGTGCCGAACTAAGAGCCTGTGCTCTCGCAGCAGCCAGGGATACAGCACTAGCTGCAAGTCAGGCATTGGCAGCTGCAAACGCCGCAGCTAGGGAACAGGCTGCTGCAGCAGCCAGAGCAACAGCAATGGCTACCGCAGCAGCATCCTCTGCTGCATCCTCGTCTGGGACTCAGTTGGGAATGCCTTCTGGGCCTACGGGTACTTTCGGCTCAGTAGGTTCTAGTCAGTCCACAAGTCAAATGGCGGGCTCGCAGTTCAGTCTGTTAACCCCACGTGGTAGGGAGCTACAAGAGCTCCAGCAAATCGAAAGGATCCGCGCTCGGTTAGAGAGGGAACTGAAGCAAGCTACCGACAGAGAAAAAAAGATCAAAAATAGAACAACCAGGCTTGATACGTTAGAGGCAGGCAAGGCTGCATTGGAGGGGTTAGATGAGTCAGCAATGTCTGACGAGATGAAAGTGTTAAAGTCCAGCATACTATCATTGCATGCGCATGTAGACAGCAGGCTAGACTTCATGTAGAACTCCTTGGACCAAATCTTGGACCTTTTGCAAAGGCCAGGATTACGGCCAGCAGCACAGTCGCCGTTGCCGTTAACGACGATGTCAGGCCCCTTTCCGGTACAAGCTGGCACACAGCCAAGTGGTACGTCTGCAGCAGCCGCACAGACTCTTGCTTCTTCTTCTTCTGGTCCAGCGGCTGGTGCTACACCATAGCCGCAACAAACTGTTCCACGACAGGGACAGCAACAAGGTCAATGGTACCCAAAGACCCCAATGAAACCGCCCCTTGCCTTCTCCGGTGAGAAGAAGGACGAGGAACTCAACACTTGGTTGAGAACAGTTCCAGTGTGGGTAAGGGCAAAGAGGACTTTGCAGGAGGAGGAGGTGATTACTGCTGCATCTTACCTGGAGGGTAAGGCAGCC